TTTTTTTTTTATTGTTTAATCAATCGACTTTAGAATTCTCCATCTTATTTTTCCTTTTACCTCACTCTAATTATCCTTGTTCCGAAGGTATGTACGCGAAGGACGGAGAGTACGTGGAATTCGCGAACTGCGAGATGAGCTGCGAAGGAGCGGTAGAAGCATGGTTGAATCATTTGCAACGAGTGATGAGGATCACCATGAGACACTACTTCGGCGAGGCGGTGGTAACGTACGAGGAAAAACCTCGAGAGCAATGGTTGTTCGACTATCCGGCCCAAGTCTCTCTGTGCACCACACAAATTTGGTGGACCACCGAGGTGAACATCGCGTTTGCAAGATTGGAGGAGGGGTACGACAATTCCTTGAAGGATTATCTGAAGAAACAGATCTCCCAATTGAGCACGCTGATCACGCTGCTGATCGGAGAGCTGACGAAACAGGAGAGGCAGAAAGTGATGACCATCTGCACGATAGACGTGCATTCTAGGGACGTGGTGGCCAAGCTGGTGCAGTCCAAGGTGGAGACGTCGCAGGCGTTCCAATGGCAGAGTCAATTACGCCACCGTTGGGACGAGAAGGAGAAGGATTGCTTTGCCAATATTTGCGACGCGCAGTTTAAATACTCTCACGAATATCTGGGGAATACACCCAGGTTCGATGGTTTTCTTTCTCCTTTTTTTTTTCTTTTGATAAATAAATCTTAATACACGCGTTAAGCTCAGTCCACATTGCCTTTCGCAAACAGTTGACAATTTATTAAATTATGTTCATCGCATGACTACCACTTTTACAAATGTAGATTCTGTTTATATGTTTATTATAGAAAAACAAAAGATTCCGTATTCGATTCCGGACACAATTTTCGAAACGAGTTGAATAATATTGAATCGAATACTTAAATAAATTCTCGACTAAGGTACATAAGTTTATTCATTACGCAGGTTGGTCATAACTCCACTGACGGACAGATGTTACATAACCCTGACTCAGTCCCTTCATTTGATCATGGGTGGCGGGCCGGCGGGTCCCGCTGGAACCGGAAAAACAGAGACAACCAAGGATCTGGGCAGAGCTCTGGGCATAATGGTGTACGTGTTCAACTGTTCGGAGCAGATGGACTACAAATCGTGCGGCAATATATACAAAGGACTGGCGCAGACCGGCGCCTGGGGCTGTTTCGACGAGTTCAATCGGATCACGGTCGAGGTGTTGTCGGTGGTCGCGGTGCAGGTGAAATCGATTCAGGATGCCATCAGACACAAGAAGGAGAAATTCAACTTCATGGGCGAGATTATCGGTTTGGAGCCTACGGTCGGTATATTTATCACGATGAATCCAGGATACGCGGGCCGCACGGAATTGCCCGAGAATTTGAAAGCTCTGTTCCGACCTTGCGCCATGGTGGTGCCCGATTTCGAGCTGATCTGCGAGATCATGCTCGTCGCGGAGGGATTCCAGGATGCGAAAATCCTGGCCAGAAAGTTCATCACGTTGTACACGTTGTGCAAAGAGTTGTTGTCGAAGCAGGATCATTACGATTGGGGATTGCGCGCGATAAAGTCGGTCCTGGTCGTTGCGGGAAGTCTGAAGAGGGGAGATCCAGGAAGGCCGGAGGAGCAAGTGCTGATGAGAGCCCTTCGAGACTTCAACATTCCCAAAGTGATATCCGACGATCTGCCCGTGTTCATGGGCCTGATAGCCGATTTGTTCCCCGCGTTGGACGTTCCGCGGAAACGAGACGCGGAGTTCGAGAAGATGGTGAAGCAGGCTGCGACCGATTTGTCGTTGCAGCCGGAAGATGGCTTCATCCTGAAAGTGGTCCAATTGGAGGAGCTGTTGGAGGTGAGGCATTCGGTTTTCATCGTGGGCATCGCGGGATCCGGCAAGACCCAGGTGTGGAAATCACTATTCAGAACGTATCAGAACATGAAGAGGAAGCCTGTCTACAACGATCTGAATCCAAAGGCGGTGACCAACGACGAATTGTTCGGGATAATCAATCCTGCGACCAGGGAGTGGAAGGATGGCCTGTTCTCGGTGATAATGAGAGAGCAGGCCAATCTAGGGGGCGAGAATCCAAAGTGGATCGTTTTGGACGGTGACATCGATCCTATGTGGATCGAGTCGTTGAACACCGTGATGGACGACAACAAAGTATTGACTTTGGCCAGCAACGAGAGGATAGCCCTCACACCCGTCATGAGATTGCTCTTCGAGATTTCCAATTTGAAGACAGCCACACCAGCCACCGTGTCCAGGGCTGGTATCCTCTACATAAATCCTCAAGACTTGGGCTGGAATCCATACGTGACCAGCTGGGTGGAGAAGAGAACGTCACCCGTAGAGAGATCTAATTTGGTAATACTGTTCGACAAGTACATACCTCCCTGTTTGGAGACGTTGAGGACCAGGTTTAAAAAGATTACCCCGATCGCGGATATGGCTCACGTGGAGATGCTCTGCCATCTCCTTCACTGTCTTCTAAAGCCGGAATTAACTTCCGCCGACTTTTTGAAAGAGCACTACGAACTTTACTTCGTTTTTGCCGCCGTCTGGGCGTTCGGATCTTCCATGTTCCAAGATCAGTTGATCGACTATCGGCTGGAATTCAGCAAATGGTGGGTGAACGAGTTCAAGCAGATTAAATTCCCCTCCCAGGGCACAGTGTTCGATTATTACGTCGATTCCGAGACGAAGAGCTTCGTTTCGTGGATGCAACGTTTGCCAAAGTTCGAGTTGGATCCAGAAATGCCGTTGCAAGCTGTTCTGGTCTACACAGCGGAGTCTATCAGAATCAGATACCTCTTGGACTTGCTCACGGCCGAAAAACATCCGGTGATGTTAGTCGGAACGGCCGGTTGCGGGAAAACCGTCCTGGTAGCCGAGAAACTTTTGCAATTGCCCGAGAATTACTCGGTGTCCAATATTCCCTTTAATTTTTACACCTCGTCGGAGATGTTGCAGAAGATTTTGGAGAAATCGTTGGAGAAGAAAGCCGGCCGAAATTACGGTCCACCGGGGAACAAGACTCTGGTCTACTTCATCGACGACATGAATATGCCCGAGGTGGACCCCTACGGGACCGTCCAACCGCACACTTTGATACGCCAACATCTGGATTACGGCCACTGGTACGATAGAACGAAGCTTACCCTCAAGGATATTCACAATTGTCAATATATCGCTTGCATGAATCCTACGGCTGGATCATTCACCATTAATCCCAGGCTGCAGAGACATTTCTCCGTGTTTGCGGTCAGTTTTCCCAATATCGAATCTCTCACGATTATTTATTCGTCCATTTTGAGGCAACATTTGTCCAACATCGAACACAGGTGAGAAATATATTTCGATACATTTGAAATTTTGCATTTTACTTAATCTATAATATTACTTAAAATCGGTATAAACGAAAATTAAATTAATCTCGAAAGTTCGATGATATCGCAATTTTTACTTAGATTTCCCATTTGTGTAACCGAATTGTGCAACAACATCGTGCAAGCATCGATCCAGCTACATCACCGCTGCGCCCAAATGTTCCTTCCAACAGCGGTCAAGTTCCACTACATCTTCAATCTTCGTGACTTATCGAACTGCTTCCAAGGATTATTGTTCAGCGGGAACGAGTGCCTCCAATCTTCCACGGACTTGATGAGACTCTGGTTCCACGAGACGCAAAGAGTTTACGGCGACAAATTGATCGACGAGAAAGATATAGAGAGCTTCTCCAAACTGCAACTGGACATCCTGAAGAAGAACGTGGAGGAGATAGACGAGAGCGCCATTTTGGAGAAGCCCAACATCTACTGCCACTTCGCAGGCAAATATTTCATTTCCGATTCACATTGTGACGCGATCGCTTCGAAATATCGTTAATTAACTTCGTTGAAATGAGTTTATACTCGCGTAAATTAAATTCGAGCTTCGAGAAATCCGATAGGAATTAGAGCTTTCGAGTTTCACTCGGGAAAATAAAAATATTGGAAACGTTGGCAAGGTGGAGTCGGGGAGCCAAAGTACATGGCAGTGAAGGATTGGTCGACCCTGCACCGATTGTTATCGGAAGCGATGGTCAGTTACAACGATCTGGTGGCGGCGATGAACCTGGTGCTGTTCGAGGACGCCATGATGCACGTGTGCCGGATAAACAGGATCCTGGAGTCGCCTAGGGGCAGCGCGCTCCTCGTCGGCGTAGGCGGTTCCGGCAAACAGAGTTTATCGCGATTGGCCGCGTTCATAAGCTCGCTGGAGGTGTTCCAAATTCAGTTGAAGAAGGGTTATGGGATCGCCGATATGAAGTTGGAGCTCGCCGTCCTGTACAACAAGTCGGGATTGAAGAATCTCGGCATCGTGTTCCTGATGACCGACGCCCAAGTGGCGAACGAACAGTTCCTCGTCCTGATCAACGACATGCTCGCTTCTGGCGAGGTTCCAGACCTCTTCGCCGAGGACGAGGTCGAGAATATAATAGCAGGTTGTTGGAAAAAAAGAACTTTCTTTACGATATCGTTCTATTATCGATTTTTATTATCCTTTTATTCGATCGCATCGTATCGATCGAGGAAAACTCTAACTTCGATTCCAATCTATTTTCATCCTCCTCCGCGAGGAAAAGAATCGCCTATTCGCCCCCGTTTGCACAGTTGGCAATTTTGCAGGGGTGCGTAACGAGGTGAAGGGCGCCGGTATGCTAGACACCCGCGAGAATTGTTGGAAGTTCTTCATCGACCGTGTCCGCCGCCAGCTTCGTACGGTTCTCTGCTTCTCCCCGGTCGGATCCACTTTAAGGATACGCTCGAGGAAATTCCCCGCCATAATAAATTGCACGGCGATAAACTGGTTCCACGAATGGCCGCAAGAAGCTTTGATGTCTGTGTCGAAGAGGTTTCTGCAGGAGTTGGACCAACTTCCGGAGACTTACAGGTAAAGAGAGTATAATATCGATCGATTTGTACCCGCCCTCCCCCTCCCCACCCCCGAGACACGCATACCGGTTTCGATGGGGCGAGGAGCGAGGCGCGGGCAATAAACAGAGGGATGGGTTGGACGCAGGGAGCCGGCAGCGAAATTTATGGCCCACGCTCACACGAGCGTGAACGCGGCGAGCAGGCATTATTTGGCCAGCGAGAGGAGGTACAACTACACCACGCCGAAATCCTTCCTCGAGCAGATCAGTTTGTACACGAGGCTGTTGAAAACGAAGGCGAGCGAGCTTCGCGGCCGGGTGGCGAGGCTCGAGAATGGATTGGAGAAGCTTCGCTCGACGGCGGTGCAGGTGGATAAATTGAAGGAGAAGCTGGCGATGCAGGAGTTGGAGTTGCAGCAGAAGAACGAGGCGGCCGATACTCTGATCGCGATCGTCGGCGTCGAGACGGAGAAGGTGCAGAAGGAGAAGGCTATAAGGTAAAAAAAAAAAAAAAGAGAAGAAGAAAAAGAAAAATCTTTCCTCCTCCACAACGCGTCGAATCTTATTCGCGTTTGTCTCGCTCCTCTCTCGTTCGTCTCAGCCGACGAGGAGGAATCGAAGGTCGCCATAATAGCGGAGGAGGTATCGAAAAAGCAGAAGGACTGCGAGATGGATTTGATGAAGGCAGAGCCGGCCCTGTTGGCCGCCCAAGAGGCTCTGAACACCCTGAACAAGGCGAATTTGACGGAATTGAAGTCGTTCGGCTCGCCACCGGGGGCAGTAACGAACGTAACTGCCGCCGTGATGGTCCTTCTGGCACCGGCTGGCAAGATACCCAAGGACAGAAGTTGGAAATCCGCCAAGGTACTCGAAACAGGGTCACTGTCACTCCCCTCCCCTTTATCGACCCACTCGTTTCTCGCTCCCAGATCATGATGGCCAAGGTCGACACCTTCCTCGACTCTCTGATCAATTACGACAAGGAAAATATCCATCCGGAAGTGATCAAGGCGATCCAGCCTTACCTAAAGGACTCGGAATTCGAGCCGGAGTTCGTGAGATCGAAATCGGCTGCGGCCGCCGGTCTCTGCGCATGGGTGATCAACATCATCAAGTTCTACGAGGTGTTCTGCGACGTGGAGCCGAAGAGGAAGGCGTTGGCGCAGGCGAACGCGGAATTGGCCGCCGCGCAGGAGAAGCTGGTCGTGATCAAACGGAAAGTGGCGGTAAATATTCGCGCGGTGAATGATTAAACGAGCGTTTAGAGCGAGTTCAGAGCAATGTTTCGCTCGTGTTTCGAACAGTCGTTGGAGGAGCAATTGGCGAAGCTGACGGCGGATTTCGAGCAGGCTACGTCCGAGAAGCTCAAGTGTCAGGAGGAGGCCGACGCGACCAACGCCACGATTGTTCTTGCCAACAGGCTGGTCGGTGGTTTGGCGTCGGAGAACGTGCGATGGGCAGACTCCGTGGCCACGTGAGTTTCCAATTTATTCATTGATTCGTTGGATTTCGTTCGTTCGGATCGATGAATAATAATAGAAAAATTAATTAAATGAGAAAAGTTTCATGCAACAAGCGTCCACGCTGCCGGGCGACGTTCTCCTGGTCACAGCCTTCATATCCTACGTCGGTTGCTTCACCAAACAATTTCGCCACGATCTGTTGCACAAGCAGTGGCTACCGTTCTTGCGTGGCGCGGAGCCGACCATTCCTATCACGGAGGGCTTGGATCCCTTGTCGTTACTCACGAACGACACTCGGATAGCCAAGTGGAACAACGAAGGATTGCCCAACGATAGAATGTCGACGGAAAACGCCACCATCCTGACGAACTCGGATCGATGGCCCCTGATGATCGATCCTCAGGTACGCGACGAGAAGAAGAAAGCGCGCAGCATCTGCCTTTTTTTCTCTTTCTCTCTCTCCAGCTGCAGGGTATCAAATGGATCAAACAGAGATACGGGGAGGAACTTCGCGTGATCAGGTTGGGGCAGAGGGGTTACTTGGACGTGATCGAGCAATGCCTGGCAACCGGGTCGACCGTCCTCGTCGAGAACATCGGTGAAACGGTGGATCCCGTGTTGGATCCGCTGTTGGGCAGAAACTTGATCAAGAAGGGGCGGGCGATCAAGATCGGGGACAAGGAGGTCGAGTACAATCCTCTGTTCAGATTATTATTGCACACGAAGCTGGCCAATCCCCATTACAAGCCCGAGATGCAGGCCCAAACTACCCTGATTAATTTCACGGTAACGAGGGACGGCCTCGAGGATCAATTACTCGCGGAGGTGGTGAAGGCCGAGCGGCCGGATCTCGAGGAGTTGAAGGCCGAGCTCACCAGACAGCAGAACGATTTCAAGATCACGCTCAACAGTTTGGAGGATTCCCTCTTGTCGAGGTAACTCACGACGACACTTTCCTTCTCGTCTCTCCTCGTCTCTCCCCAAGTCGAACGGGCGAGAAGATGGGAGAAGATCGAGTTGGAAGGAGCGGAGGGCGAAGTAACGAGATTCGTGTATACGTCGCAGATTGTCGTCGGCGGGCAGCAACGTGTTGGAGGACACGTCGTTGGTGGAGAATCTCGAGACGACGAAGAGGACCGCGGCGGAAATCGAGTCGAAGGTGACGGAAGCCCGTGGCACGAGCCGTGAGATCGACGCGGCCAGGGAATTGTATCGACCGGCGGCGGCCAGGGCGTCTCTCCTCTATTTTATCTTGAACGATCTGAACACCATCAATCCAATCTATCAATTTTCCCTGAAAGCTTTCAGCGTGGTGTTTCAAAAAGCCATCTCGAGGGCCGACCCGGCCCCCGACGTGTCCGGGAGAGTGAAGAATCTGATCGAGTGCATCACCTACTCCGTGTTCACGTACACGAGCAGGGGCTTGTTCGAGTGCGACAAACTTATCTTCGCCTCGCAGATGGCGTTTCAGATACTGCTCGCGAGGAACGAGGTGACCGCCACCGAGCTGGATTTCCTCCTACGCTTCCCCATCACCCCTCACCTCACCTCCCCCGTGGATTTCCTTTCCAACACCAGTTGGGGTGGAATCAGGAGTCTCGCCAATCGAGAAGAATTTCGGTAATCGCGCAAAAATATCTCGAAACATTAGAGACGAACGATTTTTTGTTGTATTCGTTTTCTTTTTCTTTCTTTTTCTCATTCCGTTTCTCTTTGGTCGAGCAACAGCAATTTGGACAGAGACATAGAGAGCTCGGCGAAGAGGTGGAAAAAGTTGGTGGAATGCGAGTGCCCGGAGAGGGAGAAATTCCCGCAGGAATGGAAGAACAAGACGATCGTTCAACGACTGTGCATGCTGAGGGCGCTGCGACCGGATAGAATGACCTATGCGATCGCCGCGTTTATCGAGGAGAAGCTTGGCCCGAGATACGTGGAAGGTAGAACCGTCGAGTTCGCCAAATCTTTCGAGGAAACTAGCCCTTCCACCCCTATCTTCTTCATCCTTTCTCCCGGCGTGAATCCTCTCAAGGTATGGAATCTAGAATCCCCTTCCGAACGCCCGACAAACTCTCTTGAACGAACTTTGTAAATTTTTTTCAAATCAGGACGTGGAGGATCTGGGACGTCGGATGGGTTACACGTTGGATAATCAAAATTTCCACAACGTGTCCCTGGGCCAGGGGCAGGAAACGATCGCTGAGCGAGCTATGGACGTGGCCGCGAAAAACGGGCATTGGGTAATCCTGCAGAATATCCATCTCGTGAAGAAGTGGTTGCCGTTGTTGGAGAAAAAGTTGGAAATAGCGGCGGACGGTTCCCACGAGGATTACAGGGTGTTCATGAGCGCTGAACCAGCCGGTACACCGGCAGGACACATCATCCCTCAAGTAATCGATTAATCTTCGACCTCTTGTTTCTCTCATCGTACGTGAAAAAATAGATTAAAAATATATAATGAAAATATGATTCAGGGGATCCTCGAGTCGTCGATTAAGATCACGAACGAGCCGCCCACCGGGATGCAGGCGAATCTTCACAAAGCGTTGGACAATTTCACCCAGGAAACGTTGGAGATGTGCAGCAAGGAGGCAGAGTTCAAGGTCATTCTATTTTCCCTCTGCTATTTCCACGCGGTGGTCGCGGAGCGGAGGAAATTCGGCCCGCAAGGTTGGAACAAAATCTACCCTTTCAACGTGGGCGATCTGCACATAAGCGTGAGCGTGCTGTACAATTATCTGGAGGCAACGTCCAAGGTCCCTTGGGAGGACTTGAGGTTCGTCCGTCCAATTTTGCATTGCCCCGTTGAAAATTGACGATCTATAATATGGATAATAAACGAGAACAAATTCGAAGGTATCTTTTTGGAGAGATTATGTACGGCGGGCACATAACCGACGATTGGGACAGAAGGCTCTGCGTTTCTTACCTCGAGGAATTGATGCAACCCGAATTGATCGATGGAGAGTTGATGTTAGCACCCGGTAAGGTGTAATTCCTTTCTCTTCCCTTAATCGGCATCCTAACCTCGAGTTGACCTGGAAAATCATCCTGGAAGGTTTCCCAGCCCCGCCCAACACCGATTTAGCCGGGTATCACGCGTACATAGACGAGGCGATGCCACCGGAATCACCTTACCTATACGGTTTGCATCCGAATGCGGAAATAGGTTTTCTGACCATGACCGCGGAAAATTTGTTCAGAACGGTGTTCGAGATGCAACCGAGGGACGCTGCCAGTTCCGGAAGTCAAACGGTGACCAGGGAGGAAAAGGTAATGCGATCTAAATTTCGATCGTAGCGCAAATCCGAGACGATTATTTTGAACGGATGCTCGGAAAGGTGAAGCAAATGTTGGACGAAATAATGGAGAAACTTCCGGAGGAGTTCAACATGGCCGAGATAATGGGTAAAGTGGAGGAGAGGACACCGTACGTGATCGTGGCTTTCCAGGAGTGCGAACGAATGAATCACTTGACCACCGAGATAAAACGCTCGTTACGCGAACTGGATTTAGGCCTGAAGGGAGAATTGACCATCACTTCGGACATGGAGGATCTGGAGAACGCCCTGTTCCTCGACCAAGTGCCGCTCGTATGGGCCAGCAGGGCTTATCCATCTTTGTTGGGGCTCGCCGCTTGGTTCGTCGATCTGTTGTTGAGAATCAGAGAATTGGAAACTTGGTCTACAGACTTTGTGGTAGGTTAAGATCGTGATTACGAGTAGGTAGTTTTTTTTTGTTACCTGGAAATCTTTTCTGCGATCAATTTACTTTATTAATTTTGCAATTACGAGCAGAGACGAGTTGCAATATCTGGCAAGATGATATATAATTTACACTAGAAATAAGAATAATTTAAATTATCTATATATAATGTTGACGGATAAGATATTCAATTGGAAATATTGATCGTGTTACCAATCGATTGGATTTATAAACTTATATAAAAAAATATCGTTCCAGTTGCCACCATCGGTTTGGTTAGCTGGATTCTTCAATCCTCAGTCGTTACTCACGGCTATCATGCAGTCGACAGCGAGAAGGCACGAACTTCCTCTCGATAAGATGTGTTTGCAATGCGACGTGACGAAGAAAAACAAGAAGAGTTCACGTATGTGACTTTGAATCTCGTACATTTACAGTGCAAATATTGATTGCCTTTTTGTTTTTTTTTTTTTTTTTTTTTCCTTTTTCGATAACTTAGGGCTGCGCCCAGGGACGGCGCGTACATCCACGGGATCTTCATGGAAGGGGCACGATGGGAGGTGCAGTCGGGCGTCATCGTCGACTCGAAGTCGAAGGAATTGTTTCCTCCCATGCCTGTGATCAACGTGAGAGCGATCACGCAGGACAAACAGGATCTGCGCAACATGTACGAGTGCCCTGTTTACAAAACGAGAACTCGAGGACCAACTTACGTGTGGACGTTCAATCTGAAGACCAAAGACAAGCCCGCGAAATGGACATTGGCCGGTGTCGCTTTGCTCCTTCAAACTTGAAAACGATACCAAAGTATAAATCGAGTATAAATCGATAATAAATCTAAATCTAGCCGAGGAATTCTATTTCCATAATCACAATTATTATTAAACCCTCGTCCGTTTCGACGATGCAAACGAATTTTACCCAGCGATCTATTTTTTTTACAAATCGAACGAATCGAGCAGTTTGCTCTTTTTCCCCATTATACTCTACTCTCCCCTCTATACCTCTATAGAAACGTATTAAAGAAAAGCAAACAACGGTCCAGATAGAACGATAAACAAAAAGGAAAGGAAAAAAAAAACAGATAATCGTGGAAGGGAAGAATAATTCGAGCGTAAATCTCGAAGGACCCATCGAACGGATATCAACGGGGTCGGCTAATCGACCAGGAGTTAATAAACCGTAAGACGGTGGAGAATCGAGATCCTTCTTCCTTCTTTCCTCCCTGCTAGAGAGAGAGAGAGAGAGAGAGAAATCCCGAAAGAGGAAGAAATTATCCGTCATTGGACGGAAAACAAAAGCGATCCTCCTATCTCGAAGGGAGGAGATCGATACGAGGACCGAGGAACGTAAACGAACGTTGGTCAATTTAATATATAAGCAGGGAGGAAGGGAGAAAGGGGAAGAGAAGCGAGGCGAGGCGAGGCGAAAACGCATAGTGGATTTGCCCGCGCCTCGGGGACACGAAAGCTTTCAGATTGCGGCGCGGGGATCAAAATTGTATCGTGTTAGCGAAAGAAATTAGATTTCCCTCTCCTCGGGCAGGGAGAGGCCGTAAAGAACACGATCTTTCAATGGAGAATGGAATCCTATCAAATATGCAGAGGTTATTAGCTCTCGAAGGAGTAAGGAAAAACGTTTGCCCTCCAACTTTCGTCGGGTTTCCTCTCCCTCCCTCCCTCCATACCTCCTCCTCCTCCTCCTCCTCCTCGTGTTTTTCGACAGGATTTCATCAAGATTTTTCTTCCAGGATTCGTTCCCTTTAAGACAGAGGGACGATAAACTCTTGTTGATCAACCTGTTAAGGGACGCAGCCACCATCGCTTCCTTCATCAAGAAATCGTGAATTCTTTAATGCGGCAAGTTTGCTTCGAAAGATTCTTCTTCCGAGATTAAAGAGGTTAAAGTTTCGCTTTCGAAACAACGAAGATAGATTATCGTCCATTTGAAATTTATCCATATGTTATTATTTACATTTCATTATATTATATATCTCTCTCGTTTGAATACACTTAATCTTAATATTATCTTAATATACACTTACACTTAATATCATCGATTGTTATTTATAATATATGATGACTGATTCTGCCTATGATATCTGATATGGAAAGAAAATAATGATAATAAAATTAATTAGAACTTAGATTAAAATTGAATTAAAAGGAATTGAATAGATATATTGATTGCATTATATCTGTCACGATTATTATTTGAATTCAATAGTTAGAATTAAGAATCAAAAAAAAAAAAAAAGAAAGAAATCTTCGATAATGAGCATAAGAGATCGATTAATACGGAAGGAAAAAGTTGAACAATCGAGTTCCGCGCAAAGTCAACTCATGAATCCTATCGAATCGAAGGGAGATAGGAAAAAAGCGTCGGTCCCTTCGATGGAGGTCGATGATTGGCTGCCAAACACCCTCTTCGTGATTCCTGCCGATCGATTGGCCCCTTGTGCACCGGCTTCAATCACGGTTTTCATTAAGTCTCGCCGGACAACGAGGGGTAAAAGAGAAAGAGTGGATGTTCGGATGTTCCGTGCGTTAACCGAAGGAAATCCTTTCTAATATTTTCACTTTTTTTGAACTCGATCAATTAAAGAACTCGAAAATAATAATTCGATTCGAGAATTTTTTCCAAAAGAATTAATTATACTACTAACTGTGTGAATTGGAATTTATTTACAAACCACGGATTCTCTCGATATTGACAATCAATAGTAGTGCACATTTACTCATTTATCTTTTATTTACTTACTTCATCCCTTTACCTTTTTTCGAATATTCGAATTATTCTTTCACAAATATAATGAATGAACAATTTTCCGTTCGCGATGAAAAGTAACGAGATTTTAAAGATTTTAAAGAACGGACGAATCGAAAATTTGAGAATAGGAGAAACAATATATATATATATTTTTTTTCTTTTTACAACGATTTTAAAACGGAATATCGTTGGAAATTGATTAGCTCGATGGGTTATTGCTCTCGCCATAAAACCGCAATTAATTTCCGGTTGAAACGTTCCCCGACGACAGCTTAACGAGGCAATTTAACATCGAGACGAAACGATTACTGCTACACACGAGTATCGGAGCGCATTTCGAAGGGAGCACATCTCGTGTATAATGAGGGATCGATACACGCTCGAATATAATAAGGACGCAGAAGTCGAGAAAACTTCTCGAGAAGAGGGGAGCGCGCCTCTTTTTTGTCAAAAAATTTTGCGCGCCAACCGGTAATCTTCCCCTCGGAATGGATCGAGTCCTAATTTGAATCCTAATTTGAAAAATCCCCTTCGACTTTCCAATTCGATTTGATTCGCGGAAAGGAAATTCCGAATTTCGATTGTGCACGTGATCGACACGTGTCCTACTCGTGATTGTTGGCGCGATAGGATCGTTAGCGTGACAAATCGCTTGTCATATAAGATAACGTGTCTGTGTTTTCATTCTGCGTTCTCAATAAAACATAAGTCCTTCTCCTCCATCGATCGAGTTTTGATAAATGTTTCAATATGTCACAATAGAATTACAATCGATCAGAAAATTATAAACGTGTTTATAACATGATTAATAACGATACGTCATTCCGATAAAATTTGTAACAAATTTTGCAACTAATTATTAGTAAGCGATTCTAACGAATTGATATTGAGAAAAAAAAAACGTGCACATTTTTTTAATACTTTAATAACTATTCATCGAAGATCAAAGATATCAAATACATTGAAGTAATCGAAATTTTCAATGAAAATACATAAGTTTTCTACAAGTCGTAAGAAGCATAAAACGTACATATACATCGTAATAAAATGATCTCGGCTCGGGGAACAGGGATCCTAATTTACCATACTTAGGACAACGCAACGACACTGCTTACGTATGTACCCCAACAGTTTTGTCCAAGAAGGGTAATTCTTGCCACGGGTGAAATCATTAAATATGAGGCCGGTAGGAAGAGTTAACGACGCCTTTCGCCGTTCTAAAACCCGGCCCGGATTCATTTTTCATCGAGGACGTTGGAGCGGCCTCCTTCCCTTTAACCAGGTTAATCATTTTTAAAGAGGCGACCGCAGGTGTCCCCCTCGCTTCGCGATCATTATATTAACCAGAGAGAGAGAGAGAGAGAGAGAGAAAAGAGGGGAAGAGAGTGGAATGGAAGAGGAATGGAGGAAGGAGAGAAGGAGGCATGGTTTCCGAGAATTAAATTTTCGGCGGGAGGGGCGAGGGCGAACGAAATAATGAAACGGGCTGGTACAATTTGCTTTGCATACGAGTGACATTTTTCACGTCTGTCAAGAATCTGACGCTTCTCCCCTTCCTCCCCCTCTTCGAAATTATTAAGAATCGCGTCTCTCCCGCGATTCTTTCGATTACCACCCTTCTTCCTCTGTGAAAAACGCGACCCTTTCCCCCCCCTCCCCTCCCCTTGCCTTTCTTCCTTCGAATGGAAAAAGGGAGCGTTTTCAGGGTCGATTTGACAAATCGACGAAATCTTTCTCCAGTTCCTGGTTACGCTTCTTTTCACGTACACGTTTAGTACGTTTTATCATATTTAGATCGACTCGATACTCTCTCTCTCTCTC